ACTTAGAAATTGCGATTGGTTGCAGCTGCATCAGAATGCTCCTTCAAAAGTGTTTCAACAGGCATCGAAGCTTCCCGAATGAGTTAAACGGTGTCCGCTGGAGGCCTTTATGATGCCTTATCTGCCTTACAGGCTTGATCTCGTAGTTTGCAATTATCTGACCCCTGAAATCGGCCATATGGAATACGCTGTACTCTCCATCCCGAAACGTCGATATACAAGGAAACAGATTTGGATAATGTAGGGAATGTGTTTCAAGGTATGACATGAGAGGAGTCTGTACGTCATTCAAAATACCACGATACTATTTCTAGATAAGACTCTGATATGCATATCCAGAGAGTCAGGCTCACCTGGGAAGATCCCGTCCTGATCAGACGCGAATTCTTCAAACAGTCCCTTGGACAGATCAATGCTAGTAGATGAATCACACGTAGGACATTCATCTGCCACTACGCCGGTGGTGGTATGTCCCGTATTCTTGTTGGTTATAACCACTGTTTGACCGCAGTGAGCACCATTTTGATACAGTGCCGTCTCTGAATTGATAAATTATTCAGAAAATATCAAGACTCAGCTTTTAATCCCAAGTGAAAAGGTATCAACTTACGCAGGGCTATGACATGATCCCAATCGTCATGGACAGTCCCACATGCCCCAGCAATTCCATTCTGATAAAAGAAAGTCGCGCTAAATATATGCACCGTATCAATATCTGCCCTCCTGGAAATGATGGTAAGAAATTCCTTACATTCCACTGCGTTGTTGACTATCTGAGCTTCTAGGCCTGGCCCCATGTTCTGTGGGCAAAGCATCGACTGTCATAAGGGCGAGGAAGGCGATGAGGAGATGAAGGAATAACATTGTTGAGAAGAATCGTAAAAGGAATGTTTCTTTGAGAAGGTATGCTGGTCGTTGCGAGCCTGGAATGAGGAATTGCTTCCTTGAAGAACTGGTATCAAACGAATGGAGGCTTTATACTCTCTCCAGCAGGTCAGCTGCAACGACAGCAACCTTCAAGTTCATCCAGGACAGTGTGACGCTTATGCCCTGGGCGGCATAGAATAAGCATGCAGGCTCGAGTTCCAGAACAGTTCAACAGAAGTTAATCTGGGGAATTTAGAGCTGCTAACATTAAAGGGTTTGGTATCGTGTCATAGAGGCAGAGACCATGGATCCCTTGCTAACGACCTCTGCTTAATAGACTACCGTAGCAACTGATGATGTTGCTTCAAAGCGAGTCGTCTGCCAGTGCATTTGCTTGAAATTAAGCTGTTCCCGTTTGGATACACACCCTCTAATCGCTGCATAGTAAAGTTCTAATTCCCTGCAGGTATGCATGTGGCCATTTGACACGCAAATACGCAATTCACTCTGGTACTAGGCTGGTAAAGAGGCAAGAACCAGACAGAGATTTGAAATATTGACTAAAATAAGACTTGCCTTGCGCACTATTTCCAATAATTACTGGCGTCACGGGAAGGTACCCATCCTCACAAAATGTCTCCAAAAGATCGCAGAATATTTAAGATAGCCCTACCCTTCGAGTCGTCTCCAAGCCGACGATTTATAACGGTGTTCCATTATTCAACCTTGCAGGCATGATCGAAAGAATCTCTCGGTCTGCTGTGTCCTGTGACTGGTAAAGGAAAATATGTAGCTAAATGTATTCTCGCCGACGCGGGCAGCCTGTCA